ACTTCCTACGCCTGTTCGCATGCTTTTCTTTTTTGTGTGTTCTTTATGCGCTCTAACGCCATATGGAATCGTTTTGAATTTGTTGTCTTCATCTTGCACATATGGGCAAAACAAAGTTGCACTATCATCCCATGCTGTAAGCCAAAATGGAATTTAAACGCTAAACACTAAAATCTCTTACATATTGCAAAAGATTTGCCTTTATTCTTCTGAATATCTCTGCCTGCTGCTTACCAGTCTGTTTAAAGACCAGAACCCGATTTTGGTGAAGCTGGAGAAGTTAAAAAATATATATATAAAAAAACAAACAAAAACAAGGTGAATAGGGTGAGTTCAGTTTGTCATCTGCCTCTTACTTCCGCTCCCAGAGGATCACGAATGGAACGCAGAAATGCAGGTTTAAAGATTTACCACTAGGTGGAGCCAGTGAACTTATTTGTCACCCAAATAAGTTAAAAACCATTTATATAAATGTTTGCGTTTCTGATATAGATTTGTGAAAGATAACGACACGTGTTAATGTTGCAGATTTAAACAGATTCATATTTTGGAGGATTAAATTGGCTGATTGAGTGGCCAGCTGTGGATTGAAGGAATGACATTGCTTTAAGCATTACGTTTGCAGCTTAAAGGCCATGCTGGCTCTGTTAACAGAGGCTTAGAAGTAGTTTGTCAATTACATGCAAAATATTTACCACGGTTGTGTCCCTAGAGATGTTTTACATAAAACATTGCATAATTCTTTTTTTTTTTGGGTGGCGTGCCACAGTGTACAGTCATGTCCCTGGCATGCCCGTGAAGTGTGTTAAAGTCCACTCGTTGCAGGAAGTGCTGATTTGCCCTGTGTTGAAATACATTTCACCTACAGTGGACTCTCACAGTTACCATCAAACACACATATTTTAAACCATGTATCCAATGCCAGTCATTGCTCATTATTGTTTTTTATTCGGTCAAAAATGTGACCAAAGTAACCCATCAGCATTTGTTGGGAGAGAAACCCCCCCCCCACAGTGTTTGAACAATGTCTGACTTTATTAATGCACGGGAAGCTCACAGACAAAGAGGTTTTATTCAAATGGACTATGAGGTACAAGGAAACAGCTTTATTGGAACTAAAACCAAACAGCGTGCCCTCTTCTTGCTGATCTTGGAAAAGAACTCGCATAGTCTGTGCTGAGTTACGAGAAGGACAAGTTTGGCATCACGTTCTTGAAGTTGGCTACGAAAAAACTGCAATGACTTCCTTAAGAAGATGATGACACGGATTGGTCCCTGCCCATCCGCCTCTTGAGCTGAAAGAACACGGACCTGAAGGGGATCCTGAAGACCGAGGTGGAGCATGTATTTAGCACACTGCAGAAGTGATGAAAGCAGGATGAGGGGACTAAAGTGAAGAAATTTAGAGGCGAGACTTAAGTTGGAAGTAAACAGGCCGAGATGATGCCAGCGACGTGTCTAAAGTAGTACACAAGCATTAATTGTATTGTTCAGCCCATTTGCTGCTCCCTCTCTAGTGTTTGATGATAGGTGACAAATAAAAGGAAAATCTAAAGCCTGGTGATTCAGTGACTCTGCTATGCAGTTTGGAGGCATGCTTTTATCCTGATGGGTGTTCTCTTGGATGTAAACGCTCCCACTGCCAGTATGAAAATGATGTGACGTCACCGGATTTGTCTGGAACACAACCGAAAACCTGTGAGGGATTTTGGATCGACTCTCCACCACAATCATCAGGAAATATTCTCATGTGGCATCATTTACATACGAGAAACAAATCTGCACATAAATCATAGAAAAAAAAGAGAACGTTGACAAAACTACAGACTAAACCACTGTGGATGCAGCTGTGCTGTTAAGCTGAAGTTGTTTATGTGTGTGTGTGTGTTTGCAAGTTTGCGTCTGGGTGTGTGTGGTTTTTCTGGTATTTTTGCTATGACAACAACGATATCAATAACAACTTATTCATAACATATTTGAAAAACTGCAATATAGACAGACAATCCATCTGATCTCTCCATATTACAGGCCTCAGCGAGTGCAGGCCTGGCAGGACCAGGTCAGCTAACCAGAATCCAACTAGCACCCTCTGCATGTTACCTGTACACTGTTTTCCCATGGAGGGCTTTTATTTTCTTCTCTTCCTACTGAGCAAGAAGCAGGATGTCCAGTATTGCTGAAAACTATGACAGAGGTTTCAGGGGACAAGTGGCCACCTCCCACAACCCAGGATGTCGTGCCAAAAATTCTTGCCTGCCTGCTGAGAACATAGGGCGAGTCCAGAAGTAGCAACAGTAGCAGTCCACCTACAGTAATACTGATCATAACAGACACAAACAAAGGAGGCTAGAAAAAGGAGAGAAAGGAAGAGACTCCGAGAGGTGAATCAGAACTGAGACATATTTCCCATCTGTATGTCTAAAATGTAGATGGGAGCATTAATAAAATGAAAAAAAAAGAAAGAAATATGCTAACATGTCTCTATTTACTTCTAACAAAAGACTCTGAGTAATATTCACGGCAATATTTGTGAATAATCTTTTAAAATTAATAAAATAACAACAACAACAACAATAATAATAATAATAATAATAATAATTTGAGTTTTGTAAAATGAATATAATATGAAATACTAAAAAGTTCCATACATATTACCTTAACCTTGTTTATATGTATAGGGCTACAATAAAACCTAAATAATCCTGATACATGCACAGCGAGCTGTTTGATGTGCAGCTAAAAGTAAGACACTTTCTATTAATTATGATTTAAATTTATTACCCATGTGAAGGCAGCTGGAACCAGTTTTAACATGCGTGTTCATTGTCATGTCACACATTTCTAGCACTCTCTGCACTCTTTACAAGTGACACATAAACTCTACACAAATGCATTACACACTTTCATGTAATCTGTAAAATAATGGCCCTAGAACTCTAACTCGTGTTTTTTCTTGTTACTGTTTTGCTGGAGAGCTGAAGAAGCAAAGAGTTGCCTCGGTTAGTGAGAGTGCTATAATCAAAGAACTTCCCTAAAACCGAGGATGTAAAAATGTAGCATACGGTAACAGAAAACCCCACAAGATGAGTCTTTCAGACAAGTTAAACCAAGTTCCTGTTTTTAATTCTCTCTTCTTTTTTTTCTTTTTCTTTTTTTTAAAAAAGAAAAAAAAATCACAACTCTATAGTCTGTCTGCACTTTCATTCATAAAATGTGTTGCGACACAGTTTTACG